GTCGGTAAGGGTGACGACTCCAGGCGGCACGGCGTTGGAAGGCGGGGAACTATTTTGGGTGGCCTGACGTTATCACAGAGGCCATCGAGACACTCGGAGGACAAGGAGAAGCTCAGTGGGGACGAGAAAAAGAGTGTCGAACACAAGAAGAGCGGGGAGAGCAAGAAGAGCGGAGAAGTACATGAGAAAGAACGGGTTTCGACACCCAAGTCCGTCTCGCACAGCCAAAGTCAACCGATTGGTAGCCACCGGCGAGCGGCCACAGTCCTGGACTCACAAAGCAGTGGGAGACGACATGAACGGCGGAGTAGCACTGGCGCTGCATTGCTCTCGAGTGCAGGGGGGACTATAGGTCGACGTCGACGGCCCTCACTGGGTGGCCCTCGACAAGCGGCAGAGAAACTTTTCTCCAAGACCGATGAGGAGGGCGGGGGGGAAGAGAGCGAGACACGGACTGCACCTATTCCAGGCGATGATGACCGTCAGGATGATGTGCCTACTAATGACAAGGATTTCAAGCCTCTGTTTTTGAAAGGTCTCTTTAGGTTCGTGTTTCCCAGACAGTGACTGTATAGTCCTTTTCTCTTAAGTTGGTGTTTTTCAGTGTGGCGACGACGTCTACAAAGTCGCCTCCGACCATCAAGGCTGATATAAAACGTGTTCTTGACCGGATGCAAGTACAGTATCGGGAGACGAAAGGCGGATTCGAGTGCCTTCATTTGCCGTCGATTGATATGTCGTCTGTGGACCCATCGCCGAGACATCAACAGCAGAGTTCGTCTGGTTCTGGGGGGGAGCCATCGACGCCACGTCCTTCTATCGTCAAGAAGGCGTCAAAGCTTTCTTTTGGTATGAAGAAAAAGGAGCGAGAGCCTTCGATGGAGACTCCTAGCCGACCGTCGGGCACAACGACTTTGACGACGACACCGAGTCGGTCCTCGTCCTTCTTCAATGTTTCGACGAATAATACGGTGGTTCCGTTTGAGAACGGGGTTACGGCATCTCCGTCTGTAGAGATTGACGTGTCGCCACCGTCACCTCCTCCCGCGGAGTCTGCGAGCGTGAAGTCTAAAGTGCTTCCTCCGATACCGCGGGACTTTGCTCCTGGAGCTCGGAGCATGAGTCCCCTGCCAACAGGCGAGGTAGCTGAGCGAGACGTGTTTGAGACTATGGGGAATAATTCGCTATGCGTGCGCTTCGAGATAAATATTGTCAAGGCGAGACTTTCTTTTTTGGTTGATGTCAACAGATGCTCAGAACCTATGTTCCAGGTGCCTTGGTTACCACTGCATGGTATACAATTTCGAAGAGCAAGCGGGGATGGTTGGCAGTACCAGATGCTTGCTAGACGTGTGCTGACCGAGTTGAAGTTATGATGACATATGAACAAGCTATGTTTCTGGTTATTTTTCGGGCGAGGGTGTACTTTCGTTCTTTCGTACTTATTATGATTTGCCTTGTTATCCTGCTCATTATTTATGCATATCATTCAGGTCACCTTGTACGACGGTATAATGTGTGGTAGGATTATTTACCTTTTTTCTCAAAAGAAAAGCGCCATGGGAACTTATCGACCGCCTGCGAGATAGGGATATCAATTTGAATGTGTAGACTGACAGACTCCTAAGTCTCTTGGGCGGGCTTTTCTTATTGGAAAGAGGGAACGCGTATAAAAGTTTTGAGTTCGACGCGGTACACTCCTTACTCTTAGATTTCTTTCGGGTTTTCTTTTCGGTTGTTCTGCTCGCCATGTCGAAAGTTAACTCGGACAAGAAGCCTTACTTTGGCTTGACTGGAATGGCGCTCAGCGCCTGGGTCAATATTGCCTGTATCACGGATATGTTTCACGCTTTTTTTACTCGCTACCCCAACTCTCAACTTCAAGACACCATTGTCTCCCTGTACGATATTGGCTGGTACGTTGGTCGCCTACATCAGTTTTATTTGAACTTCAACTCCTCGCCTTTACAGTTTCGTGGTGCTATGGGCTCTTTTGCTTTCGGCGAAAAACTCGGGCGAAAGACGATGCTCATCATTGGTGTCGTTGTCATGCCTATCGGAGCCATCATTCAAACCGCGCCCTTTAATGTCACTATGATCCTTGTTTCTCGTATCATTAATGGGTGCGTCTCCCTTCTCTTTCGTTACTTTTCCACCAGTAACTAATTTTTACAGCGTCAACACAGCCAATGCTCCAGTCTGGTAAAGCGAGACCACGAAGGCGTCCCTTCGAGGAAAGGTGATAACTCTCGGGATGATGTGCGCTTCTCCACCTAATGGTGTCTTCTTCATCAATCTTTCTCCCTAGTATGAACATCGCCGGCTACGCGATTAGCAATTGGATGACTTTCGGATTAAGTTTTGTCGAAGGAAGTATCAGCCGAAGGCTTCCCCCTGCTTTCTGACTCGTCTTTTCTATCATTCTACTTTGCACCATTCCCTGGCTTCTTGCGCACGGACACGAAGAACAGGGCGCTGCAATCCTCGCAGCGCTAGGGACGTATCAATGTTGTTTGTGCGGCTGGTTCGATAGATCGTGCGTGAAGATGGAATAAAATCGGCGCAAGAGCACAGTTGAGTATGAGTCGCGCCAACATATTCCGCGATTTTTTGTAGCGTAACGTATTGCCAAGGCTCCGTCATGGGAAACGGCAAAGTTAGCGGCGAGACATGGCCTGCAAGCGAGACAAGGACGGATAGCGAGGCCATGATTCAAGTGTCGCTGTAGTAGGTACAGAGACGCGGTATAGGACGTCCGTTCCGCAGGAATAAGAGAAGGTCACGGGAAGTAGGGAGTCCGCCAGCGAATATGAGACACTTGAACAATTTTCTCCTAAATAAAACAGGGTAGATAACAGGCAAAGACGAAGAGGTCTGACCTTATTTTTCAGAAAAGGGCGGGCTGTTGCTGGTTGGAAGTTCTCCAGTAGCGTACTTGCGCCAGCCACTTGGATTGGTAACTTGCAACGTGACCAGACCAGCTATAGCACGTGAGCGTGTGATAGTTAATTTGGATCGCCGGTCGGTCGAGGTCCACTGTTTGTTATCCTGCTCGGTTTATTGTATATTCAGAGCCTTGTGCCATGGTGACACGTTCTCCGATTTACTTCTCGCTGCCAGGAAATCCCACAATGTTCAGTGTCATTGCAATCCCAGTTTCTGCGATTACGCCTGCATCGGAACAGACAATCCTGCCCACTTTCCACACCCCACCTCTTCAACATCTCGCTACGTAAATCTAGACGAAAAAGTGTCAGATATCTTTGACGAGCAATCCCGTCCAGTCGCCTCTTTTATTGCCGAAGAAGTTTGGCAAGGTACATGCGCCGCATTTTTTGCTTCTTTCTTGTGACTAAAGAAGTAGCCAGGTTTCCTAAATACAGGATCTATGTCTGGGTCGTCCACACCTGCCTTCAGCTCAGCTGCATCTTCGTTAACGGACCTTGAGTCCCCCATGGTTCCAAGTTTAGTGATACTATGCCTGGACTCAATATCTTAGGACAAGGCATATTACAATCTTGCTCCGGACACCCGGTGCGTGTTATTTGTATCACCATCTATTCGACACCTGATTTGTGTCCAGAGAGTCGCGTTAACATTCCTCACTGCACATGATCTACTGTATTCTCCAGGCGTCATCTGGGCGGGTAAAACGCCGTATATCATCGAACTTTCTGTGAGATCGCAGTGGCTCTGCAAGCTACCCCTTGTCCGCCGCCCAGAAAGTTTCTGCAAGACCTCCTTTTTGGCTATGCTAGAGTTTTTCTATGACCGCAAGCGTTTCACAAAGCCCATCTCCGATGCGGTACTCACCTCGTCCTTGTTCTTCGCTCCGCAGGCGTTGGCAAGACATCCTTCCTGGTCATGGTAGAGTTTTTCCACAACGTTAAATATCACAACTCTCCCATATCTGCTCTGCATTATCATCTACGTGGATCGGAGACTTCTGTGCCGCAAACAGACACAAAATAGACTTGCACGGAGACTTGGTGCTGACCTTTGACCTGGCCGCGACACGCGTAACCGATTTTGAAACGTCGCTTGTCGAGCATGTCAACACAGTCTTGAAACAATTTTTGTCCAAGTATCAACAAGAACTCCAAATCGCAACAGAGGATTTCTCTTATATTTACAAAGATGGGATTTTCTCGTTGGCTGCAGTTTTGGTAAGGTTTTCCCTCTCCTTTGGTTATATATCTCTTATCTCCACTGTAGGACCTTGTGGCGTGCTCTCAGCGATGGCGGGTGTTTGTATGCATCCGCAACGCACCGTCCCTTGCCGCTGGGGACACGGCTGAAATCAAGAAATCCCTCGAGCTATTTTTTATTTGTCCTCTTTCAGGTTATCTGCATGACTTTAACTCTGGTCTCGCCATGGAAACTGGTGACGAACCGGATCCTCGCATCAGCACGTATCACTTAAATCACAATGGGTGGAAATCTACTGCTATTGACCTGGCTGACTGATATTATGGAAGGCGTATTCGGCTTCACGTCATGAGGTTCAGGAGCTGTCTCGCGAGTTCAAAGTCCAAGGTGTAGAGTCCGGGTTGGCACTGCGAAGTTTTGGTTTAGGCTTGGAGAACGTATATTCTATGAAAGAGGTGCTGAAAGAAATCAAAAGACAGTGTCTGGAGCAGGGTATTGTGTAGAGACGGAGCCGTTGCATATAATGGAATCTCTGCCAAGGTTGATTTATCATATATACATTCTGTATCGTGGATACTGTCAGCTGTGTAATGCTTCGACTTGACAGGTTTCAAGCAAAGGCATGGTACGGATCTAATGCACCTCTGAGAAGCGTAAGTTGAAGTCTAGGCCTTACACCAAGTGAGGCGGCACCTCGGCCCTCCCTCAGCTGGTTATTGGTTCCTTGTGTACTAGACTCTCATTGGAGTGACAACACTTACCGAGTTGAGCGTCCACTGTCGCCATCAGACGGTGGGCCCCCAGTCGGTGGTTATTAAAAAGCGAAAAAAAATATAGATATCTGCAGAAAATCCGACCTGTGCGGATCGAACGCACGACCTCAAGATAATTTCCCCAGGAATTTTCCCAATTACAGTCTCGCGCTCTTCCAGCTGAGCTAAGGTCGGCTCATGGTGGTGTGCAGCATTACTATAGCAGGGCGAATGTGCTACCTTAGCACCCAACCCTTGTAGCATAGTAGTATTTCGCCTTCACTTCTCTGATCATTTTCTGCCTTCTCAAAGTTTTGTAGGGGTATTGCAACGATGTGGCCATCTTCACGCCTTCAATAAACAGTTAATTGCCTGCGTCTTCGTCTCTGTTACCTATAACGCGTGTTTTACTCCAGTGTTGAGACCTTTGAATGATGCACCATTTAGCACACGTTTCGAAGGAGCGACCTCAATTCCGTGTTTGTACCAAGTTCGAGGCCTCCATGCTCTCAGGATATTTCAATTGCTTTAGAGCAGGAAGCCTAGCTATCATACGCCGGCTCATATTGACCCACGGTGGCCAAGTTCGGGGAGCAAAAAGTGTAGAGGTTGGGCTAGTAGAGTCAGGGTATTATCTTGGTCACTTGAATTGATCTCCTTCTCACTGATCGCTGCTAGATCCTGCCAAACTTACTCCGGGCCGTGCTAGTGCTTCAAGCTAACACTAACGTTGAACTTTGACCTTCCACTCTGATTCGAAATGTTGGACGGAACCGAGAGTCAAGGTCGCACATGTAGCTTCTTTTACCTTGACAACGCCGAATGGTGCTGATTACCATCCCACTTTGATCGTATAGCGTACTGGAGTCGCTGTTTGTCAAATACGTGGTTATCAGTGCCATAATCGACTCTAGAATTATGCCCCTGTCATCACCACCTTCCTTCAACCAACATTGCCAATAGATGTGAGTGTCTGCTTACTTGAAGAGCAATTGAAGTCTAAGTTCAACTCAGAATTTCGTCCAGGCTCTATATGTGATATGGTTGTCGTAGGGATTGCTTCCAAGGCTCTTCAAGTCCGCGGGATACCCTTCTGATACAATTTCTTTCCAAGATCTTGCGTGCTCTTTCCCAATGATTACGGCGAGCTTCTCTGTGCTAAAACTCCTGCGACTCGACGTCTTAGTCCAGTTATCCGATTTGGCGTACTATGGTTGTCTGTATTTTGGACCGCACTAAGTAGCAGGACGTCTGGTGCAAATCATTGGCGTTGGATTAACTCGGTGCTTATCGCCTGTTTGTCAGTCATACTGTATTCCTGCAGGGGCTAGCCTCGTTTCACTGAAAACGTGCAGGTTTTCCTTCCGCAAGCAATGAAAGTGGAATAGGGGATTTGACTTACAGTCCGCATCTTGGCGCCGTTATTATTTGACATTGGGCGCGGACTCTTTGTCTCTCGTCTCTCTATCACCATGGCTGTCGACGACCCTCTTGCGTCGGGATGGTCTCTGGCAGACAACCACAAAGAGAAACTTTCATTCTCTTCGGTGAAACCGGTGGATGTACAGATTCGGGGCCTTTCTGTACAGGTGGAAGGCACGCGACGATGGAAGGAACGCTTTCTTAGCCTCAGGAAAAATACTTCCGATCTAGAGGCTCGCCAGATCAGAAGCCTTCTTACCAATATCGACGCCGATTTTCCTCGCGGTACTCTGACAGGCATCCTCGGTAGCAGTGGTAGTGGAAAGGTACGTCAAATAGTATCAATTGTAAGCTATGCACTGACTGACATATCCCTCCAGACGACACTGCTCAATGTTCTATCTGAACGGATGCGCGGCAGTAACCTCTCCGTTCAAGGCGAGCGCCTCCACAATAATTTGACATCCCTATCCAGCGTTTCACATGCATATGTCACTCAGACAGACTCCCTTCTTCCCACTCTCACCGTCCGCGAAACTCTCACGTACGCCGCAAGCCTACGTCTCCCCGCTTCTACGAGCCGTGCACAGCGCGCACAACTCGTTGATGATATCATTCTCGAACTCGGACTTAAGGACTGTTCGAACACATATGTCGGGGATGGTGTACGCCGCAAGGGGTGTTCTGGTGGAGAGCTGAGACGTGTCAGTCTCGGTATTCAGTTGCTGGGAAACCCCTCTGTGCTCTTTCTCGATGAACCGACGACAGGCCTCGATGCTACAAGCGCCTTTCACCTTGTGAAGACGCTGAAGAGTCTCGCGCAGAAGGGCAGGACGGTCATCATGACCTTGCACCAACCTCGCTCTGAGACGTTTCTTATGCTTGATAGGGTGATGCTACTCTCTCAAGGACATATACTCTACGCCGGTGTCTCTTCGGCGGCCATTCCGTGGTTCGAACGACTCGTCCATCCATTAGAACTTCACGTCAATCCTGCGGACTATCTAATCGAAGTTGCTGCTGTTGATGTCCGCACGATTGCGGCTGAGGAAGCGTCTCGAAGTCGTGTCAGCAAGCTCATCGCGGCGTGGAAATCAGAGTCGGCTGTCCGATTCCCACAAATCAAACGGGAATTGGCGGTCAACCATGTCGATAAACGAGATGTACACAAGGCACCTGTTGGTCGTGTTATACTCACTTTGATTTCTCGGAAACTGAAGACAAGTATCCGCGATCCATTTGGCATGGCCTCAGCTTGGATAGAGGCTGCTCTTATGGGGCTGTTCGTCGGAATAGCGTTCTACCACATTCCTGACTCGATATCGGGTATAAGGACGCGAGAGGCCGTCTTGTATACATCAGTGGGACTGCAAGAGTACCTGATTATGATGTATGAGGTATATCGTCTGACCATGATAGACCTTCCTGTCTTCGATAGAGAGCAGAGTGAGGGAATTGTCGGTGTAGTACCTTGGGTTATAAGCTATCGTTCTGCGCACGCCATCCTGGAGGATATCATCGTCCCTTTGATCTTCTCCGCCATAACTTACTACATGGTTGGACTCGCAACTTCCACTGGGCGATTCTTTTATTACTTCGCAATCGGCCTTCTCAATCATTACATTGCAGTTACTTTTGCAGGGTTTGCTACTGCTATGACGAGGAATTTCGCTAAGGCTACGATCATTGCGAATGCCGCGTTCATGCTGCACACGTACCCGTGCGGGTTCTTCATACAAGCTGGTGCGATACCAAATTATATGCGGTGGACAAAATGGATTTCGCCAGTCGTGAGTACATACAATTTTAGCCCATTCAACTATTATCTTACTTCTTGTAGTTCTATGCCTTCACCGCATTGGTATACAACGAATTTAAGGGCCGCTTTTTCAACTGTCCTGACGGTGATGCGAGGACAGACCCTAACTGCATTGCTTACCGAGGCGATTTCATCATCAAATCTCTCACTGTATCTGAAATGACTTGGACTATCGTCCCGATATGTGCAATCCTCGCGGTTATTGTCATATATCTTATCGGTCAAATGCTATTCCTCCATTTTTTTAAAGTCAGCATCTCGATGCTCGGAACCAAGAAACGCCCGGAGGATGAGTCCCGGCACGCATCCGGTGCTTCTGTGTCCCTCACTCCAAACAGCGTCGTTGGTATCGATGTTGACCTCACGGATTACAATCTCAAGATCCGCTCACGACGAGGAAGGGATATCAAAATTCTCCAGGCCATCACTTCCTGTTTCGAGGCGGGAAAAGTCAACGTCATTTTAGGCCCCTCAGGAAGTGGCAAGTCTTCTTTGCTCAATCTCATGGCACAGCGACTTCAGTCGACGCTGAGGTCGACCTACGTTGCGGGCGGTACACTGAGCTTGAATGGTGTACAGGCCAGCCCAGAAGTGATGAGCACTCTGTGCTCGTATGTAACACAGGATGATTCTGCTCTACTACCATATCTCAGCGTTCGCGAGACCCTGCAATTCGCTGCTTCGTTGCGACTACCAAGCAGTATGTCCAAGAAGGAGAAACGGCATAGGGCGGATGAGGTCATGCTGAAGATGGGACTGAAGGATTGTCGGCACACTCTCATCGGGAATGAATTGTTGAAAGGCATTTCTGGAGGCGAGAAACGGCGAGTGAGCATTGCCGTTCAGGTGCTCACAGAGCCTCAAGTTCTGATGTGAGTAGTGCTTCTGTTATTGTTGGTATGATTTGCTCATTGCTTTCCAGGTTGGATGAGCCGACATCAGGACTGGACGCATTCACAGCGGCGTCCATTCTGGATGTTCTGGCGCAACTCGCAAAGGAGGGTCGAACGATCATAACGACGCTTCATCAGAGCTCCTCCGAACTTTACAAGCGCTTCGGCAACGTGCTGTTGTTGGCGAAGGGTGGTCGGGTGGTATACTCTGGTGCTGCGAGCGAGATGCTTGATTACATGTCCTCGGTTGGGTTTGAGTGCCCTTCTATGATGAATCCTGCGGATTTTGCGTTGGATGTCGTTTCAGTGGATTTACGTGATACCGAACAAGAGGAACTTGGCCGAGCAAGGGTGAATCAGCTGGTGAAGGCTTTCAAGGATCGTCAGGAGGCAAATGACAGTAGATCTCCGTTGACTAATAAGCAGACGTGGCCCTCATTGACACATTTGAAGGTTTACGAGAGGAGGATGTTGTCGATCACCTCCGCGCTGCCGATCCTACTTAAACGTGGCATTCTCGCATTTCTCCGGCAAAATTCCTTGCTAGTGATGCGGATTGGGAGTGTTCTTGGCATTTCGGTGCGTTTTGATGCTCACTGCCGCACGTCCGACCCTTATCCTCATGGCCTAGATCGGCATTGGGCTCTTTTTCTCACCGCTGGGACATGATTACTCGAGCGTCCAATCTCGTGTCGGTTGTATCCAGGAAACACTGCCACGTGAGTCATTCAGTTTATTGTATCTTGCTGATCTAAATAGGTCGAAACAGTGTTCTTCATTGGCATACTTCAAAATGTCGCGGTCTTTCCGATAGAACGGGATTTCTTCTACAGGGTAAGGTCACTACTTTTCTCATGTTCATTGGTCTGAATTTTTTCATAGGAATACGACGACAGGGTTTATTCTATCGAAGCATTTTTAACCTCATACATCCTCTTGGAGCTGCCTTTGGAGATCCTCGCTTGTTTGATCTATTCTCTCTTTGTTTCAATCGCCACTGATCTTCATAGATCCGTCGGCATGTACTTCATTACTGCCCTGAACGGACTCTGTATCCTGAA